ATGAGATGAAGAGTGTGTGGTTTGATTCCACTTATGAAACGGGTTCCAAATAAATGGAGGCTTATTGTCTATGGTTTTACTTGATTTTTCAAAGGATATTCGAACGGAAATGTTTTTCTCACACGCCTAATCAAGTTGCTTGAAATGAATGAAAGTATGTACTAACCTCACTTGCATGTTTTAAAAGTTGAAAAATCTTGTAAAACATAGATCGAATAAGCACGGGGTATGAGGGGCCGGTACCCCAAAAATGAGATGAAGAGTGTGTGGTTTGATTCCACTTATGAAACGGGTTCCAAATAAATGAAGGCTTGTTGTCTATGGTTTTACTTGATTTTTCAAAGTATATCCGAACGAAAATATTTTTCTCACACACCTAATCAAGTTGCTTGAAATGAATGAAAGTATGTACTAACCTCACTTACACGTTTTTAAAGTTGGAAAATCTTGTAAAACATAGATCGAATAAGCACGGGGTATGAGGAGCCGGTACCCAAAAAATGAGATGAAGAGTGTGTTAATTGATTCCACTTATGAAACGGGTTCCAAATAAATGAAGCCTTATTGTCTATGGTTTTACTTGATTTTTCAAAGGATATCCAAACGAAAATGTTTTTCTCACACGCCTAATCAAGTTGCTTGAAATGAATGAAAGTATGTACTAACCTCACTTGCACGTTTTTAAAGTTAGAAAATCTTGAAAAACATAGATCGAATAAGCACGGGGTATGAGGGGCCGGTACCCCAAAAATGAGATGAAGAGTGTGTGGTTTGATTCCACTTATGAAACGGGTTTCAAATAAATGAAGACTTATTGTCTATGGTTTTACTTGATTTTTCAAAGGATATCCGAACGAAAATGTTTTTCTCACGCGCCTAATCAAGTTGCTTGAAATGAATGAAAGTATGTACTAACCTCACTTGCACGTTTTTAAAGTTGTGAAATCTTGTAACACTTAGATCGAATAAACACGGGGTATGAGGGACCGGTACCCAAAAAATGAGA